AAGCTTTTCTAATTACTCAACCCCCAGGCCAAACCTTTTTTTCCTTCTTCTTTTTCACTCACTGAGGCTAACTCTGAGGGAGGAAAAGGATCAGCAAAGAAATCTGGAGATCTGAGAGTCACCCCTGGTTGAATTGTGAACCAGTTCCGGAAGTTTAGTTGGAAGTCCTTCTTCTTCAAGGGCTCCTCCTCTCCTACCTCCCCTGGCCATATCACTTCCCCCAAGCACCCCTCAGCTGATACACCCAGCCAGTCTGTATTTAATTTTGTTATTGCTTGTTTAACCTCTTTTTTTAGCTGAAGGCTGCGTAATTTAATTTTAGTGTTAAACCATTGCGCTCTCATTTCAGTTTGAATAAATTGAACCACAAGTTCTGCAATTTCAGCCCCCTCCAGATGGACTTCTTCCTTGTCATGGACACCCCTTTGAAACCACAAAGTCGATGGGACTGCTTTACGGCCAAAAGGGCAACGGCCTCGAGATATGATCATCATGTGTTTTTTTCTTTCTTTCTAATTTGATCCTCAAAAGTAACATGAACGTACTTACCTCTCCTTTCTTTCCTCTAGAAAGGGCAACCGCCTCCAGATATTATCATCGAACTGCCTGACCCTCACTGTTTTTTTACCAGGCATTGATAAATTTTAATACAAAGTCTGGCGGGGTCTGGAACAACTGGGTTCGCTGTTTTACTCGGTGGACCCTATGATTCTGCAGGCCTATGAGCAAGTCCGTCACTGGGCCCATCTGGGCCGGTCTGGAATCCTCTAATTTGGTATTCGTATCCTGGGTTCTCACCGTTTCGGTCCGGTACTTGGAACTTAGCCAGTGTCTGTTAGGATGGACGGAGGTATATAATAATGGTACAGTTGCCCCTATTCTGTGTCTCACCGTGCGCTGACCTCTGGAGATGGCCGGTTCGTGGCGATCCGGTTGAAACAAGTGTAGGCTTTATAATCGCCACCAGAGCTTCACAAATGGTGCTTTTGCACCACTTTTTCGCCATTTTGGCTGGTGCCTACTGTAATATGAGTAACGAGTCAACTTGCGCTCGGGGTTTTACTATCTTCTTCGTGTTGTCTATCCTCCTCCCTTGTCGTCTTTTTGCAGTTTCTGCATAAAATGATTGTTGCTCGTCGTTCTCATACTGCCGCGACATTCACGTGATAACCAGCGGGGAGGGCTTACCCCGTCTGAGTGAGCATGCCCCGTTGGACTGACCCTTTCCTCTTGATTCGTCTAATAGTCTTCCTCCCTTCTTGTCTTTGTTACGGGAGACGTTTGTTATCATCTCTCTTAGGGCTTTGCCCGATCTGGTCAATTGGTTTCTGGACGTGGTTAGTCGTGTTTCGCGATGTATGGAACAAGGGTGTGTCATCATTGTTGGTTACCCGGGCATTTCTTGTGGCAGTGTCAGCTACATGACGTCCCCAACGCGGCGGATCTTGTGCCAGGAGTTCACATCAAGTTCTTCTTCGGCAGAGGCCAGGAATGGGGCGGCGTCATTAAGCGGCATCCTTCTGGCTCCGAATGCTATCGTCCTTATCAACCTCCTCAGAGTCATGACAACCGAGACACTGGTTATGGTAATCGCGGCTATGGGTACGATAGTCGAGCTGTTGGTTACTGCAACCGTAACAATTATCGGCAAAACGACTTATATCTGCGAGATCATGAGTGTGAGGAGAAGATAGATCGGGTGTACAATCTGTTGTCAAAGCAGATCGAGGAGAAGGCACGACTCAAGAAGGAGAGGGAGATGCAAGAAAATATGGGGGAGTAGAAGAAGAAAAGCAGACGGAGGACAAGAAGGTATTTCTGGAGAAGAAGGAGAAGGAACTCTTTGTATGTAAGATTGGGCAAGTCGTCAGACAGAATATGAAGGTCGCCTGCGAATCTTCCCTAGGAAAAACGGTCGATATTCTCGAGGAGTCTTATCTGTGGGATTTGGACCTTTCAAAATTGAAAAGGGAATTGGAGGAGTTAAAGGCCAAGGCAGAATTGGACAAGCAGTTTATGGGAATTGACGAGCCACCAGTCCCCCCGCCGTCGAAAACCCCTGTCCCTGTGATCTAGGGTCGGGTTGTATGGAGCGGCGGCGACCGTTCATCATCAGTGGGTCTAATCCGGCCATTTTCAAGGTTTTTTTTTTTTTTTTTTTTTTTTTTTTTTTAACACCCCCGCTGCTGGTAGTGATGCTGATAATGCAGACACCACTACCAGTCGGGGAGAGGGTAGCGGTTAAGCTTAGTGAGGTTGGAGATGTACACCCTTTTTCAAGTTTTATTCAATGAAAAAAAAAGTTCCTTTCCCAAGAACGATTGCCAACAAAGAGATGGTTCGGCGTGCCTGCAATGATGCATTGAACTGCCTGCGTGTTGCTGGCCTGGTTACTGATGAAATGCGGACTGACAGGCGAGGAGTTGCTCGCCCTGGCCAGGCCCGACACGAGGACTGTATTCTGAGTGAGTACGTGGCGGGAGTGGGACAGTCACTAGAGGGGCTGGTTCGGTCCCCACTGGATCATAACGCAAGCGAAACTTGGATCAAATGTCCTGTTCGCTATGAGGTGGGGCTGCGTAAGATGTACCTTGAGAATGAGAACTATGAGTGTGTCGTGAGTGAGCCGGATCAAGTCATTGGGAAGTGTAGACAGGCATACCGTGAGGCTGGGCTTGAAAAAATCGCAGCCTGGGACAGGAAAGGGGAATTGCAGTTTGCATATCACCTGTCTAAAGAGAAAGGTAAAGTTAAGAAACGCCCTATAGTCCCGTCTTTTTCCAGCCCATTTCGAGCAGTTTCGGGTCTGCTCTCGACTGCTCTGAAAGGGCTCATAAAGCATTTGAAGGTACCACACTTCAACCTTCGGGCGATTGGGGAACTGGAATGTGAAATTGACAAGGTGAACAAGCATGGGGTCGAAAGCGGGCTGGACTTCGAAGCACGGACCTATGATATAAAGGAGATGTTCACACAACTGCCGCACAGTGAAATCTGCAGCGCAGTACAATGGATCGTGGATGTATTTCGGAAAGAGGGCGTAAAATGGATTCGGGTAAACACCCGGAAAAAGCAGGCAAAATTTGGGAAATCACATCGAGAAGCCGGCTGGAAATCAGTCAGACTGAGTGTGTTAATAATCCTGACCAACTTCCAGCTAGATAACACCTTTTTTCGAGTTTGTGACTTTGTACTGAAGCAGAAACAAGGGATTCCGATGGGGGGCAGGGCTAGTCCTCCGCTGGCCTGCATCATGTGCATGTTCTCGGAGTACAAGCTCCTTCTATCATTAGGCGCAGACGCTAAGTTCATCACTGGGAAAAGATACATTGATGACCTATTAGTGGTCTCGTTCTTCAAGAAAGGGGACTCAGTGTCTGAGTGCAGGGCTAGAGAGCGTTTTGACCTTGTCACTCGTTGTTACCCAGACGGTTTGCTGCTCGAAAGGACCGATACTGGTTTAGGAATTTGGACTTCTTGGAAACCAGACTGCCGATCTGCGGAGAACCCAGAACCATAATCATGTCTCACAAGTTTAAAAATGGGGACTCAATTTGGGGTACTGAGGACCTGCGATTTAGAACGTATAAAGATTTCAGATCCKTTGGGCCGCACAAAGCCAAGTTTGCCACAGTGGCAAATACCATCCTTCGAATTTCAAAAAATTCGAACAACGCGGGGGTTACCTTCCTCAATGTACTTACCTTAATCGAGGAGCTGCGGAAACATAAGTACCCCGAGCGGGTGGTGATAGTCGGGTTGGAGTGGATGTATCGGCGTGAACCCACTGGGTTTTGGGAAAAAATCGTGGGAGTGGCACGTGCTTGGGTGAAAGAGCAGAATCTGGAAGCCGGCGCCACAAGAAACAGAAGAGTTACAAAGTGATCGTTTATGGAAGAGACCCAAATCCGACAGAACGGATACGAAGCACAAGACATCGCTAAATGACAAAACAAGAGAAGGTTCCAGCTGAACTCCTGGGGTCAAGGGAAACATGTTTTCGCACGAACTTGGACTACAGCCCTTGGCGGATTCAAACAATGGATAACAGGACCGCAATCAAAATGTGGCGGTACGGACTGCATCATGCGACAGCGAAATACGGTACGGTCTAGCGTGCCCCGACACAGGGAGTACAATTGAGCTTCGAACCGAGACTTGTTGCGGGCTAAAGTTCCTTCCGGCCTGACTGGATTCCGACCGGATTTTGATTATGTGGCGTTGAACCGAGTCGCAATATTGTGTTTCAGAGATAGAGTTTGAATGATCCAATCAGAGCAAACCANTGGATTCCGACCGGATTTTGATTATGTGGCGTTGAACCGAGTCGCAATATTGTGTTTCAGAGATAGAGTTTGAATGATCCAATCAGAGCAAACCAGGTAGGATGTTAACGTGTTTTTGGAGTGGTACGGATTGGGGGACTTGTATGGCCCGCGCAGGGCCGAAGTATCTGAGATGGCCGAATTTGGTTCCAACTAACGCAGCGCGATAAGGCGTAAAGTAGGATGTACTAGTATAAAAGTCGTAGGATCCATGTTTTTCCTCAACTTGAGTGACGTGTGAGTAGAAGGGTTAAGAATTTCCTGATGGTGTTAGATCAGGGTGAGTGGGGAAGGAGTTGGTGACGTCATGATATTAAGACTCACATCATCTTCTTCTGGATTATTATTGTGTTTTATGCTTGATATCGTACAGCGTCAGGGTCAACCTTGTCGTGGCTTGGGAACGAGCCTGAGGTGCCGAATCTCGTGTACGACCGTTCGTTTGCGAGATCGTGCTTCATTCATTTTATTAATCTTTCTATACCTTTACACTTTCCATACTTTTCATACTTCCATACTTTTGCAATTTCATACTCTCATATGTTCTGGTGTTGTATTACCATTTCGGTACGGGTAATTGTTCTCCAAAGTGATTCATATGCGAATTCGTGCTGTTTTTATCATCATGGATTAACATGGTCGGGGTATGTCCGATCCTGCGTATTGTACGGCCACGTAGATTTCTACTTCCATGAGTGAGATCCACAAGGTCGGTCGTGTTGGTAATGCGAATGGTGTCAGAAGGGTGGAGCAGCCGTGGCAGTTTTTACGAATCGACAGTTGGATCGAAGTCGTGTATAACGGAGTGGGTGGAATCTGCCGCGCCCGATCCTCGAGCGCAACGGATGCTGAGATCGTCGAGCTGGGTCATCGACACGAGAAAAAGAGACAGTAAGGTCGTCTGGAGCATCGAGATCGGTGGTATCTTGTTCGTGTTATTGGTATTAAGACGCATGTACGGGCGAAGGAACGCCAGGGCGGCACCAAGAAGGGGACGTTGGTCGAACTGCGGACGATACTGGTCGAATATGAGCGGCAATGGCCAGTCGAACGGGCAATATAACCCGCCTCCGCCTGGAGTGTACGGTCCGAGTTGGCAGCATCCGAATCCTCCACCTAGTTCTGGACCAGGTGGTGGGAATGTTGGGTATCAAGCTCAGCAGCCTGCTGCACCATGGAATGTGTCGGGACCATGGGTGATGCCTCCGGTGCAAGTACCGATGGCGCAGGCAACTCAGCACATCATGATGCAACCTCCTGCTGTAGCTCCTCTAGCTGCTATCCCGGCGATTCTGCCGGCTAATGGTCATCTGCAGACGAGTAACCAGTTGCACTCTGGTGAAAACCGACCGATGTTGGCAGGGAAGGGACCTTCGGCGAATGCTTTCCCCAGTCCCGGAAACCGAGCCTATTTCACAAAGGAATACATGAACCTGTTGGAGGAGATTAAAAATACCAAGGTGATTGACGAGGCAAAAAAGAGGATTGTCGGTAACAAGCGAGGAGGTGGCATTCAGATTTCAGGGAATTCGGGTGAAAGCCACACCGGCCAACTACGCTTCAATGAGAGGAGTGACGAAATGAAGGCTTGGGTTTCCTCGACTCTTGGGGACTCTCTCAAACTCATTACGAAGAAACTGGAGGACATCCGACGAAGACGACGACGAGGATGGTGTCAAACAGAATCTGGCGCAAAAATTGGAGAAGAGTAGTGACCTGTCTGAAGTGAAGAAGATTCTGTCTGAACTCGTGCAAGGACTGGCTGGCCAGCGAAACAAGCAGCCTGCGGAATCCCCCGAGCCTGTTCTCGAGCCATACCCTGAGCTTGAAGACTCTGAGGATGTCGACCTCACACAGAAGCCATTCCATGAGGAGGACGCTGACGAAGACGGACTTGCTGCATACATGAAGATGAGGCAAGACTTTTACATGTCCCTGCACTTCTCTCGAGTCCAGGAGCTGTGCAAGCAAAGGGGTGTACAATACGTTCGAAAGGACACCGGGTCCTGGGAACTTGCTCGATTGGATCTGCCGGAGTATGCAGACCAACTGAAGGACGCTGCCTCGAAAGATGCTGCTGAACCATCGTGGAATCAGGATAACGAAGATCTAGGCGATGCTGTTGAGAATGATGTTGTTACTGACAATTAGCAAATTGAGAGTTTACACTCCCTAAGAAGGGCCGTGAGTAGGATTTCGAGGTTGAAAGAGTGTGGGGATGGAGCGTGAATCTCTCTCCTTGACCAAGTTCATACTCTGATTATCCTCCTTGCGTGCCTACGGGGGGATATCGCGTGAGGTAAAGCATACGTACGCTTCTGGCTGCGTATGACCAGAGACGAATGGAGTCGACTGTTGGTTGGGAGTGGTTGTGTCTATGTAGTTATGTCCTTGAGCCACAGACTGGTTTATGTAGGCAAGACAATACGGTCCCTCAGAGAACGATGGCGTGAGCACCGCCGTGTTGTGGCAGTAGGTAGTAAGCAGCGTGTGCGCTCCTGGCTTAGAAAGGCTGGTCTCCAGAATTACGTCCCCATTCTTGTCTTGTTCTGCCATTGAGGGCATGGAAACAAAAATCATTAAGAGTCACAACCCCGCTCTGAATTCAAAAGGACGCAGCCAGAGGAGAAAAACCCGTAGGAATCGAGGCCGGAATAAGGGATCAAATACGGCGCTGCAGTGCAGTATCCCGGAACCCCTGTTCTTCGACTGTGAGGCCGTTAATGTGAGACAAGAACCGGACCTGCTTCAAATCTTAAAACTGCTGAGTAAAGAAAATAGGAAAGGGCTGTGAAAATCTCTAATAATGTCGGGTGCCAGTGAGTTAAAGCATGAGGATTGTGAAGATGTTGTTTGGGGCCTCGAAAATTGAGATTAATGGTGTGAAGTCTTTATTGAGGGATGCTAAGGCCAACATAGAGAATGCTGGTTGCTGGTCTGTTATTGCCTTGTGTATGATAAAAATCGGGACTGAGCAGGACAAAGCGAAGTTGATTGCCTTACTACGAGCACCATGGAAGAGGAAGGATTTGTTTAAACAGTCTCTTGATGAACTCGTCAAACTCAACAGAAGTGTGAAATCGATTGGTCAGAAGAAAGGGAGGCAAATCTTGAGAGGGATTCTCACGGGGTTGGAGAAGAAGAAGTTTAGGATCAATTTGAGAAAAAAACATTACTGTGAGGATTCCATTTTGTACCACGGTCGATAAAAGGAAGGTTGAATCTGTCACTAAGGATTGGATAAAAAAGAATGTATCACCAAAATCACTCATCGACTTGTATGCAGGAAGGACAAAGGTCGTCCGACTGAGAGCCTGTTCGGTCGGTGACCTTTTGTATAACCAGAAATCTTTCGCACAGTCGTGTGTTTTTGAATGCGCGTGTGCTGGATTTAACTTGCCCAAAGTTAACGGGCATGTAGCGGTTAAGCTTAGTGAGGTTGGAGATGTACACCCTTTTTTATTCAATGCAAAAAACGTTCCTTTCCCAAGAACGATTGCCAGCAAAGAGATGGTTTGGCGTGCCTGCAATGATGCATTGAACTGCCTGCGCATTGCTGGCCTGGTTACTGATGAAATGCGGACTGATTGGCGCGGAGTTGCTCGCCCTGAACAGACGCGACACGAGGACTGTATTCTGAGTGAGTACGTGGCGGAAGTGAGACAGGCACTAGAGGGGCTGGTTCGGTCCCCACTGGATCATAACGCAAGCGAAACTTGGATTGAATGTCATGTTCGCTACGAGGAGGGTCTGCGTAAGATGTACCTTGAGAATGAGAACTATGAGTGTGTCGTGAGTGAGCCGCATCAAGTCATTGGGAAGTGTAGACAGGCATACCGTGAGGCTGGGCTTGAAAAAATCGCAGCCTGGGACAGGAAAGGGGAATTGCAGTTTGCATAT